GAAACCCTTCTGGTCAACGAAGGCACAGGTACCTCGTTGATCAGAAAGGGTTCCCTTCTGATCAACCAGGTACATCCTCCTTGACGGGAGAGAATCCCTTCCGGTCAACAAGGTAGATGTACCTTGCTGATCGGAATGGTTTCCTTCTGGTCAACAAGGTGCATGAACCTCATTGACCGGAAGGAAACCCTTCCGGTCAACCTGGGCGGGGCGCTGGGGTTCCCTCCAGCCTCAAGGCCATTTTATGTCTTTTATTTCTTTTATTTCTTTTCTTTTCTTTTTTGTTCTTTTTCTTTTATTTTTTTTCTTCCTTTTTATCTTTTTATCTTTTTTTTTCCTTTTTCTTTTTCTTTTTCTTTTTCTTTTTCTTTTTCTTTTTCTTTTTCTTTTTCTTTTTCTTTTTCTTTTTCTTTTTCTTTTTCTTTTTCTTTTTCTTTTTCTTTTTCTTTTTCTTTTTCTTTTTCTTTTTCTTTTTCTTTTTCCTTTCTTTTTTTTTTTTTTTATTTTTTCAGCAATTACAAACAATTTTTTTTGAAATTCTTTTCAATTCTTTTTGACTTTATTTTTTTCATGTTTTTAAAATACAATGATAGTCACAAAAAATCCCCCCAAAAAAACTCAAACAAGATGCAAAAGGATTGTAATGAACCTTGCAGTCAAACTAAGTGAGGAAGAGAGAGGAGGTACCCATGGTACCTGCCAAAAGTACCGCCGGTGTAGTGTGCCAAATGTGTTTCAAGTACCAAATTGCATAAATTCATGATCCACTCTTGATAATAGGCTAGATTCTTGGTGTTATTATTACTTCAATAGATTCTACAGGTCATTTAACCCATAGTCACTCACTGGAACCACTGGGCTAGCTCCACTCAGTCAAAATTTATTGGGATAAATCAGTTTTTTACTACAGTATAGTATAGTTGTCCTGGGTAGTACATAGTATAGATTTATATATAAGTGCATAGTTGCAATCTTTGTTTGTACAGGCATATGTATGATCACATGTTTAGTCACATGCATGATCACACGCTTGGATCACACGTATTTTCACATGACAATCACCAGCCACACGCTTGGATCACACGTATTTTCACAACAGACCAGCAAAAATGCCTCAACATAGAAAGAACATTCCACAAGACATGTGATTTTCTGTATGGGGCAGTGCAGATCACATGACACACCAGCAAAAATGGCTCAATAGAAGTTTCCAAGCAGCAAAAATCCCTCAAAGAAGAAGTCACACCAGCATAAATCCCTCACAGGACTTCCTCACTAGCTAAAATCCCTCACAATTTACTATATAAGGAGGTCATTTCTCCCTCCTCAGATCAGTTCCTCATGCCAATCCAGCACATCTACCAAGCTATACACATCTCACCCAGAGTCTTCAAGTCAAATTAAGGTAAATTCCAACCGTGTGATCTCAATCAGGTGACCCATCAACGTCTTTCATACCTCAGGAAGCATAGAAGAAGTCAAGTAGCAAGTATCACCCTTTGTGCTCTTAACAACGGTGGGCCGCTACACTAACCGTAGCGGTTAGTGTAGCGTAACGCAGCGGAATTCCCGTTAGCGTTAAGCGTAGCGTAGCGGAATTCCGCCACGACACCGCTAACGCTACGCGTGTGGGCCACAAAAAAGGGCCCACTACGCTGCGCTACAGCCGTTTTTAGCGGTTTTTAGCCGCTTTTTCCGCTAAAAGCGCTGTAGCGCAGCGTAGCGTAGCGAAAATGCGCTACAAAAGCGCTAACACTACCAAAATTTGGCGCAAAAAAAGCGCCGCTACGCTACGCTTTTTGGGCCAAAAGCGTAGCGGCCCACCGCTGCTCTTAACAAGTCAAAGTGATCTTAACCCATTTGTTCTCTTAACTGAAGGTTAAGGAGGAGGGCAAAGACACTTTTAATAGTTCATATTTATCATCAGTTTCCTCTCAATCTTTTCCCATATCAACATTTACTTTACTTCACTCATATAAACATATAAAAACATACAAAAATATTTCCCAGCTTTTTTACATCTTTCCATTATCTGATTCCAACCTACTGTAAACCACACCAAATTCTTTCCACTCAAACTTCCACTAAATCTTCTGCTGAATCCACGTTGATCTAGGTTTGATAAGAGACTATTACATATAGTTTTCTCCATCATCAGTTTTTGCCACAACAATAAAATAAATTTGTTGTCAGAATTCTAGTGTAGTACATTAGAGGGGCAGGTCTTTCAAACCACCCATAACAGTTGTAGTAAATTCATACTTACCTGAAATATCATAACTGCTATTTCCCCCTTGCAGGACTGCCATCCATCCCAAAGGAGTTCTCACACCGGTACCCGCCAGGAGGTGCCTGGTGCGGTACTTGGTACCTATTTTCTGAATGAATTCAACAGGCACCTAGGTACCAACAGGTACCCGAGTACAAACGAATGATCTCCACTTCACCCACTCGTGTGACTTCAAGTTTGTGCTTTGAAGCTCTAGAATCCAAAACAAGCAGCCAAAAATAACGGCCAACCCACTGTACATATCAAGAAAGTACAACCCCCAGGAAGCTTGGGTAGGAAGCAGATCTTGGGATGACTGAGATGTAGCTCTGGGCCAAAGCTGGTTAGTAACAAGAGATAGAAAAGATAAGATGTGGCAGGGTGGCATTTTAACATCTTGTGAAAGATAATGTCATGAAATCTCATGCTGAGTGGTTTCAGTCAAGTAGAGATTCTGCACTCAGTGAAAGAAAAGTGAATGAATCGGGGAACATTCATTATCTTTTTATCACTTATTTAATAATTTGGCATTTTTCAGGTCTCACTCATTCTCAAATTATTTTGCATTTAAGTCAAGTACCAAAGAAAAAAAAAAGATATTTGGGAAAAAACCCCCGTACATGGATAAATGTGTTGGAAAATTGTACTTGGAGGGAAGAGAAAAAAGGATCATCTCAAAGTGGAGAGAAGATTAAGAGTACACACCATATCGGAAGGACTATGTAATCCACATTGGCCACTACCAAAAAAAAAAAACAAGAGATAACGGAAGAGTATTTACATTGTCATTGGTCCTTTGTGTGTTGGAGTAAGTATGATCCATGAAAAAAACAATAACAAACAAAAAATTCACATGAATTATCAAACTTTTTTATACTCTTTGATATGATATCATCATCATCATCATGAAATCCAAAGAAATAAAGTAATCTTAATAATAATAATAATGTCAAGACTTGAGTCCAATGGAGTAAAAAAAAGAAATGTCCACAATTTTTACAGGGGTAGAAAAATTAAGTTGATGGGGCTACTTCTGAGAACTAAGATTTCGAAGGAGAACTTTTCAATGGAGAAGAAAAGATTGCTCTTGCTTTTGCGAATCCGGATTCATTTTTTGGGGCCTTGCTTGGCTTGCCATCGTCCTCGTCGTCCCATCCGGAGCTGAGAGTCTTGATGGATCCGTTTTCGAGTCTCTGGTCGACGCGAGCGATTTCTGACGGCGTAGCCTGTTGGGTATGATCCTCGACCACCTTTTCCGATTGCTCGTCTCCGGCCAGATCCTCTTGGGTTTTCATTCCCAATAATAAGGAGGGCACCGGTGCATGGAGCGGATTCGGGATACCCTTCCCAAGCAAGAAACTGATCCGACAGAGTAGAATGATGTTGTAAAAGCTGAGAAAAATCACGATGAAGAAGGAGAGAGCAAGAACAAGAGAAAGATTGTATTGGAGTGTTCTTGGTAGTAAGGGTGAAGTTGGTTGCGGAGAGAGAGACGCAGCGCCAGCTAACGAAAACAAGACTGTCGTTAGCAATCCGCTTGTGAGTGGGTAATTTGCGCTCAGAAATCGACGTATGTATGAAACCTTTTGGCGATCTCCACCGAACGACGGGGCAGCTGATAGGAAGCTTACCTAAGGTTAACACTACAATCAAGCCAGTCCAGAGTGCTTCGATGATGTATCGAGACAAGAAGCCAGCGATCCCGAACAGGGGAAGTCCGACGGCGATCGGGATGAGGATGATCAGGGTGACAGAAGGCGCGATGATGACGGGCAAAGCTTGGCGTCTGGAGTCCTCGATCCCGATCCGTCTCCGCCCGCCTACGCCGATTATAAATGGGAGCGAGTCCTGGAATTCTTGAACTACAATCACCACATTCGCTAGGGCGAGCGTCCAGATTAGGACAAAGAAAAACACTCGGAAGGCTGCTAATGGTTCTCTGCGAATGCTGGTTTGCAGTCGGGCACTCGTGGCTTGGAGTTTCGAGGGTGGCGTCGAGGTAGACTTCTCGGCCATGCTGGTTTCTCTTCTTTGTCTTTTATCTTTTTTTTTTTTTTTGGTTTTTGGCTGAGCTGAATTTACGATTGATGGATCCCACCTCGCTTGCTTTGAGGTCACTTCACTGTCCAGCGCTAGACTGAGGTAAACAGGAGAAAAGCTTCTATGACTCTTTGTGTTCAATTTCCGTCGTCAATGATTGCCTGATGAATATCGCAGCTGGTGAGCTTAATCCAGAGGCAAATTTTCTTGTGTCAAAACCAGAACCTACCGAAGATTTCCAAGGACTGTGATAATACGGGAGTAATGGGAAGAGTTGTTGAGAGGCAGAATGATGGGATCTTTAATTCGAAATGGTAGTTAGGAAGGACTCCAGGACCTCCTTCATGAAGGAAAACTGCGGGATCTAAGCAATACAAGTTTGACCGAAGAAGGATGGACAACCAAGCAAGAGGATATTGAGGGGACGGAGCCAATGGGTGAAGTTCCTAAATTCAAGGGGCTTCTTCACTAATGGAAAATGTAGCGAACCAGAAAAACTAGAAAGAAAGCCAAAAAAAAGGGGGAGGTGTAAAGGCGAGCGCATGAGTAACGAAGACGACCCAGCCATTAGATCGTTGTCGACGATTATTTGTAGCATGCATGCATACATCTTCGGTCGTTAAGACTGCAGTTTGCCACCACCCGTCTCGACTCTCGCCTCTTGACTCAGGAGGGGGCACTCACAGGGCTTGGTACATTTGTAACTTGTGTTTATCTGTACGTCTTTACATGGCCTGCCATTTCTTATTGGCGAATCGACATCAGCCTCGGGAGTCGGATGTGTGCATCGGTCTACGCACCAAGATCTACATTCTGAATTCCGAACTGGTTGTGTTCAGTTGTGCTGTGATGCGTCCTTCCACATCGTGCGGAAGGAAGTTACAGACATGGCGGTGCCATCTAAGGCATGGTCCCGGGGTTCGGGACGGGGTTTGAGGCTAGTCCCGAGGAACGAACCTCGGGGTTCAGGGTTCAAACCCCGGAGCCCCGGGGTTTTGATTTTTTTTTTTTCAGGTGCCGGATCAAGTTTCAACCAGCCAAAGAAGATCTCCTTTTGGCTGGTTGGCGAGGGGAAAGTCTGAACCCTCCCCAGCCGGTTGGTACAGACTCACCTACCGGTCACAGAGGATTCCTCCCCGGCTGATCGGTTCAATCAGTACCAACCAGCTGGGGAAGAATCCATCTTGGCCGGTAGACGAGTCTGCATCAACCAGCCAAGAAGGACTGCCCTTGGCTGTTTGGTAGATGCTGTACCAACCAGCCGGGGAGGAATATCCCGTCGCCGGTTTGCTGTATCAACCAGCCCGGGTGG